TGGGTTTTTCTATTTATCAGATGGCCTATATGATTTCATAATTTCATGCTACAATAATTATTATTATTTATTAGCCAGAAAATCAAAATCTGGCATCGGTCATAATTTTGACCGGTCGGTTAAACCTCTCTGACCGGTCAATATCGGTTACTATTACGGTCATTGACCGGTCATGACCGGTCATGACCTGACCGTGGCCATCTCTAGTTATGCTCTATAAATGAATATTCCAAAAATGCACTTTTGCAAAAGGTTCTACCACAAAATCCCGAAAACCATTTTCCCGAAAGAACATAATACAAACTAAATTGGCCAACATTATAACTAATGCCGGCTAATTTTGTCAGTATTAGGTCCTTTCGGGAATCTGTCTTTCGGGTAAAAATTTATCGCAACAACAAAATTATGTGCTACATTGATTCAGGATGCCCATGAGCGCTAATGACAAGAACATATAATGAAATCTGTTCAAATACATTCCCATGGTTCTTAGCTGAAATTATTAATATTCTCATTTTTGCTTGTTGGGATCACATGCCAAATATCATGCTATAAACGTGTTGTCTTTATTAAATGTACACTTTTACCGTATTTTTTATATCATTAAAAATTTATTGTAATACTCGCTAACCAAATAAATGGTTATTTATTATTGCTCGATCAGATGACTTTATTTACGCGAAGAAACATATGGAGATTCGGTTCACTATCATTTGCAGGCTTTACAAGCCTTATCTTAATTATGCTAAAATGTCCATGTCTCTAAAGGGATATTTCATCCCAAAATACAAAATACATCTTATAATCCATTACATATTTCTGACCACAAACATATTGTAGTCAAAAGGAATTACATAGCTATAAAGAGAATCAGCTATATAATATTATCTGGCAACGTAAATGAAACTAAAACATAGGTCCTTGCACTACCTACAACAGCTGCGGAGCCTCACTACCTAATATTTGAACAACTGAAGTCCTTGTATTAAGTACCTACGGCAGTTAAAGCCTAATTGCCAAATGTGGGATCCTTGCGACACTAGCACCCAAGTGTCAATGTATTGCCCTTAGTTTACAAGTTACTGGGAGATGGGCGGGAGTGGTGGGATGATAGAGCCAGCCTTCACTACAAGGCGAGCGATAGCGAAGGAAAGATAACCTTCTCTACTAACCAAAGGCCCTTAAATATATTACTGATTACATATGATTACTCTTACCGCTAAGATTCTTAAAATCTACAGAATCACCGATTTTCACACGACATTGTGATCTACAGAGGTCATATCTTTTTGCAAAGCGCAATAATCGCCTCTAATCAGCAGCTTGTTGCCATTGGATTGCTGTCGATTTGATATTATACAATCGATTGTCACCTCTATCGCTGGTAATCGGCAGAGGTGCTGCCACTTTTAGGCGTCAATCGATTGCCAACCAGTTCAAAAATTTCCTGATGCTAATATATTCAAATATATATAAGGTATATATTTTGCATTAGTTAGTCAAGTATTTTATTTTATATATATATATATATATATCAATACTGTTTTATTAAAATTATTGGGCTTATGTCAAATAAGCTACCCCTCTTGATCTGAATCTATAATAGGTAGTTTAATTGACCAACACGCCAGAGATATATAACTTATATGTCTCTAACTAAAGATACTTTATACATAATTCGAGAGAAATAATTTTCAAATAAATAAATAAACTTTGAAGATTTTTGTAAACTGTTGAAATTTTTTTATGAATCGCTTCTGTCTTGTGACTTTACAAAGTTACCTTTCAAAAAAAAAAAATTCTTTTTACTAAATTCATAATCGTTAGAGAACTTCAAAATTTTTTTGAAAAGTTAAAAATAATTTTTTTTTGATTACAAAAAAATAAATATACAGTAAAATTAACAATGATTTCACAAAATACGATTACTACTATAAATAACAGAAATGCCTACAACCTTATACTCGCTTACTCAATCAACACGAATAAAAATGAGCCAATGAAAAATAATACATACGAATGGCCTACTTTAAACAACTACAATTGACAGTGAAAAATTGAAAACTATTACGTAACATTAAATATTTATGAGTTTGATGGCTTACCTCAAAACATGTTCTCACTAATTAACACGAATAAATTAAAATGATTAGAGGGTTTCAAAAATTAACTTATTTCGAAATCAGGTGAGAGTTTAAAAATCTCACTTATATTTTGAAATTTTGAAATCAGAAAACTAAGTAGGTCATACGATTACGAAATTTATAAACCTTTTTGTCCGAAATCAAAGATTACCGTTTACCATTGTATATAATACCCAGGTCTTATTCAAAATCTCGTATTTTTATGGGTCCGTATTGTTTCACCGACAATCACTTCGTAGACACAGACAATTATTCATCGACAAGTTTATTTTACCGACAGTCTATTTCACCGAAGCTTATTTCACCGACAAGTTTTTTTTTTATAAACTACACTAATTTAACTCTAGTTCTAACCTAACTCTAATGATATTGATCAGAATTACTTTGTCTGTAAAATGAGCTTCGGTGAATAAACTGTCGGAGAAATGAACTTGTCGGTAAGTAATTGTCAGTTAAATATGGTGTCTACGAAGTGATTGTCGGCGAGTTGATGGGATCCCAAGTTCTATACATATGCTTTGTTATTTTTTATTTTTAGCGTAACTGTATTCACTTTCGCCTTACTTTTTTGCAGCATTATTGTTTTGTCATCGTTTTTGTCATTGCCCTTTGAAGTTGCCAATTTCATTGGCCTTGGAGTCGCCTCTAAAGTCACTTTTTTGGGGTCAATGTGGCTTTTGGTTAGTGATGTGCCATTTATATGATACCTGAAAAATTTTAGCGTACAGTACGTACAGTACGTACAGTACGTATAGTTCTTTTTCTGGCATCTGATTGGCTGGAACAAGTGATCGGCAAAAATTTTAGCGTACAGTACAGTACGTACCGTACTGTACGTATAATACTGTACGCGGCACATCACTACTTTTGGTGCAATTGACTTCAGATGTGTCGTCGTCTATGGTTCACTTTTGCAGTTCTTGGCGCCTACTTAGGTGCCGCACAAAAAATGTGGCACGTATAAACTCTATGCCAAGTTGTCTTCCCTGTATCGCCACCAAATTTCCACCCGCACGTGACCAACAACAAAATTCGTAAGTTTTTCTTATGTTAGGTTAGGGTTAGGGTGAGTACCTATGTTAGGGTTTGGGTTTGAGTGTTTTAAAGTAAAATCGCTCAAGAAAAACTTTTTGTTAATGCGCAGAAGGTGATTTGATATGCCATTTCTTGTGAAATGAGCGATTTTTGTCAAAACGAACGTTTGTTTTGAATTTCCTGATCGTGTAACGTTACACCTGATCTTGAAATGTGATTGGATCCTGATCACGTGCAGGTGGAATTTTTGTGCAGATCCTATTAATAAATTCGAACAATAACTACTTGATCAAATTCAGTAAAAATTAAATAAAAAAGAGTTCACTGAATTTGGTTCATTTAGTAACACGATAAAATCATTACGTATAAGAACGCATCATCTAATTGTGGAAACATAGTTATAATCTGAGTTTATTAATTGGAAACATATATTATCACTTCATACGTACTAGTGATGCGACCCAAACTGTTTACGGCAAATAACGGCATTACGACATTTAGGGATTCATGCCGAAATCCCAAACATATATTAGTTTAGGACAATTACGGCATAGGTCCCAAACTAGTTTTGCCAGTTTGGGATACGGCAATTGCCGAAACCACTAGGTTTGGGTCGCATCACTAATACGTACGTACGTACATTATTTTAAGTTTACATAGTAGTGCATACATCTAACTATGGAATCAAAAGTGGTCGGACCTAAAAATCTTAAAAAACTTTGAGGCATGCGTATACAGCTCTATATTGCACTATATAGCGCATATAGCACATATCTCTAGGCGATAACTATAAAATTTCACCAATAGTGGTGAAATTATTTCACCACATTTCACCGTATTTCACCAGCATCTATAGATGAAACCAATAAAAAAGGAGACCGTATCCAACTTTAAACTTATACGGAACGAAGTATTACATATATTTAGTAATATAAATTTATCACACTTTCGATTTAGCCCTAAAGTGATTTGAATTGTGAGGCGTTAAACTCCTGGTTTTCTCATTAATCAGGCCAGGACAACTTGATTTTTGTTTAACATGACTTGAAAAAGCAATTTTATCTGAGCTTACTTATTATTATGGATTTTACTTTCGACTCGTGTTAGGTGAGTTTTGTAGTTATAATCTACTTTTGTAGCTTCTTTGTACCAATGTAATGCTTTTTTCAAATTTGTTTCTGTTCCTATACCGTATTCGTAACAATTTCCTAGTTCAAATTGTGAGGCAGGTAGTCCATTTTTAGCCGCTTTTTCAAATGATTTAAATCCTTCAACAACATTGGCACCTGTTCCTTGGCCTTTTTGGTAACATAATCCTAAGGTATTCAATGCCTTTAAACTTCCATTCTCGACTGCTTTTTTGAGGAAATCGAATGCTTTGGTATATCTTCCAAGTTTATAAAAATACTCTCCAAGAAAACATCCCGCTGCTGCACATTTATTTTCGGCTGCCTTATTGTACCAATCAAGTGCATTCTTCAAATTCTTATTGGTGTTCCGACCTTCTGCGTAACATTTTCCAACAAAATATTGAGCAATACTATCTTCTCCTGCTGCAATAAAGAATAAATGAAATGATGCTACTTTTTTGTCTGTGCCAATGTTCCAATGATAAAATAATCCAAGTAGGCAGTAATACTTTGGACAATTGCTATGTCCCGACAACCATTGAAATACTTCTTCATTTGTTTTACCACTTTTAGATATGAAATTGATAATTATATCACTAACTGATCTACCTTCGTTAAATTGTTTATCTAAAGTAGAATATAGATTATTTACAAAGAGTGCCATGTCAACCTGATCAAATTTGTTATTAGCGTTCTCAATATATTCTTCACTTTCTGATATATCACAAATATTAAAGCTGCAATTGGCTATGACGTCTTGAACTATATTGTCTTCAAATACCCTAGTTGCTTCTTTGATAGATGGTCGAATGCTTTCCAATTCCGTAACTACCTCTTCGATAGATGGTCGATCAACTTGATCACTCTTCCAACACCCTAAAAATCAAGAATTTATGACTTAAAGGCATAAAATTAAACAATAAATTATAATTAAACATACATTCATAAATAGTAACGTATTCACGAGGCGTATCGGCAATTGGCTCTTCTCGTAGCCCATTCAATATTTTATTTGGTAGAGTTGCTATATCTTCATTTTCAAAAGGTTTTTTTTCACTTGATATTTCCCATAAAATAATACCGATGCTATAAATATCTGATTTTTTATTCTTTTTATATCTGCGCTTTCTATCATTGTATTGTTCTACTATAAAACATTGAGGATCAATATAGGGTATAACTCCAAAAACTTCACTTGTAGTTTTAGACATTGAGGCTTCAATAACACGTCGTGATAATCCAAAGTCAGCTAATTTTAAAGTTTCTTGGTGAATAAGTATATTATTAGGATGCTTTAAGATAAAATAAAAATTAATTTACTAAAATTATACAGTAATTGCACGAAGCATAGTACTATCATTTATAAAATTTACCAGATCGCCATGAACAATATTATGAGCATGCAACCATTTAACGGCTTCCACGAGTTGAATTGCAAATTGGATCTTTAACGTCCATTCGATTGTTGACGAATTTTTGTGCAAATAATCTAGTAAAGTTCCATTATCTGCGTACTCAAGAATAAGTACATATTTGACTACATTTGCGTCCATTTCATCAATTTTGTACGCAATACCATAAAATTTGATAACATTCTCATGAGATTCTACAGAAAGCATATGCTTTATCTGAATATTATTTGTCACAATTACACATGTTAGCATGTAAAATAAATATTTGCCTAATGGCCTGTATAAAATATTAATTACCTCATTTAGAATTTCTTTATTAGTATGGTCATTTTCTTCAATAATCTTCAATGCACATAGATTCTTCGTACTTTTAAATCTTGCTCTATAAACTTTACTAAAAGCACCACCATTGATAAATTTATAATCTTCGAATTCATCCATCTTATGCACATTAATTCTCCCTTCAATTATTCTATTTTCAATCCACTTTTCATTGGAATTCATTTGGTCGTCAACTAAAGAAAGTCGCATATTTTTTAATTCTTCAATAACAGTTTTAATTTTTGGACGTCTCTTAGGTTCTTGCTCCCAACAATGTTGATAAAGTTTAACATAATCATCTGGTGTATTCTCTACGGGAGTTTCTCTATTTCCATTGTATATATAAATAATGATTGCTTCTCTGTTTTCGAAGTTACAGAAAGGTGGCCTACTACTAGAAATCTCCCAAAAGATTACTCCAAGGCTATAGATATCAGATCTCTCGTCACATTTGTAATTAGGATCTATAGAGCATTGGGGCTCTAAATACCCGTACATTTTACTAGCTTTAAACATTGTTACTTCATTCATATGTTTAGATATTCCAAAATCTGCGATTAGCATTCGATTATGACTAACTAAAATATTTTTTGAATGCTAACGAAAAAAAAAAAGGTTGTTTATTACACATTAACTAAAGATAATATTTTATATATGTATATAAGTTCTTACAAGATCTCTATGAAAAATTTTGTTATCATGCAAAAACGATAGTCCTTTAGCTATTTCATGCGCAAATCGAAGTTTATCAGACCAATTTAATTTCGAAGAGTTATTTTTTAAGTATTCGTGTAAATTTCCGTCTGCAGCATATTGTAACATCAAGTTATATTGGTTTTTTGAGGGATCTGTTTAAAATAAAATCAGTACATTAGTTATAAATATGACGTTGTTTCCCTGAAATAACATATACAGAGGAGGGGACATTAGAGAACTGTCACTTATTACGTAATTATAGCCCCTCCAGAGTCAGTCATTTGACAACTACAAATTCGTTATTTTAGACAATTGTCAAACGATTGATTACTTTGGAACTTTTAATTGTAAATGACTGACTCTGGAGGAGCTATAATTTCGTAATAAGTGACAGTTCCCTTAATCCTTGAACATTTTATTTTACTGTTAAGCAATATCTTGTGATGTATGATCCAATTTTGATTATTTGGTACCATCCAATGAAATAATTCCTATATCACTAGTAGTGATTCAGTAGTAAGATTTATCTAGTTATGGCTTAAGCGATAAATATCATTGGGAATTCTACTGCTGAACAAAATTTAGCTAGTAAAGAACTAATAAAACAAAATGTTCAAGAATTATTGTCGATTCTGTAATTTTTTAAATGTTTAAATTACCATTAGTGACTCCATAAAATTGGATAATATTTGGATGTTTATGTTTATCAACAGCAGCTAATCTCCGAATCTATACATCAAGGAAATTAGATAATATCAAACTACACTCGGAAATTAAATTAAAATTTACCTCATTTATAAACAATCTTATCGCATTAGTAATAATGATTTTATTATTAATAGTAGTTTCAATGGGAGTGATTTTATTGGTATTAATTGCATTCTTAATTTCACCAATAATTTCGCTATCGATTTGACTATGGTTAATGGTTATGCTTTTAAGAACAATCGTAGAATTTTCCCACTTCGCTTTGTAAACATTTCCAAAGGGACTTTGATTGATTGTTTCAAAATTGTTAAACAAATTATATTCATATTTTTTTATTTCATTTTCTTCATTAATAAAATTATTAATTAATTCATTCAATTCATTCGAAGCAATTGCCATAATTTGTTAGAAGATGAGTAAATCGGCGAAATTGCGAAATTCAAGTCAGGCAAGGCAGATAGCGTTTTAAATTGAAGACAGGAAAGTTATAGTTTCCTTTTTTGATGTCATGACAAGGGGCGAATGTTACACTAAAGAATCTAAGTCTGATACTACTGTCAAGGTCGGAAATGATAATCGGCACGAGATCCTTGGTACATCATGATTTGGGTCTAATTCACTTAGCAATTCCATTTGCTTGACTTTATTCTTCGGTATCGCTCAGCACTTATGATTCCACACACTACGTCCTTCAACGAAGAATACAAGGCAAACTTTCTTACTAAGACTAATTTGTCGTAACTTCAGATCGCTAAGCTTATATACTACTTATTTATTAATCGATCGGGTATTTTATTACCCAGTTACACTCATTAAACTAAATTCACATTAGACTTTAAATTAAATTTCTGCATATACAATCACGACATCATGCAACATAATTATAAGAAGTTGTAAATTGGCAGTTAACTACACCGATTTTAACTGATTTTATTAAACTATACCGGATAATTATTAAGAACTTTGATTTGTTAAAGATTAAAAAACCTTTATACGTGATAGTAATTGATTATCTATATAAATTATATAGATCATTTGTAACCAGCAGCATTGGGCTTTATTATCATTGCCTGATTTTGTAGGTCATATTATCATAAAAAGTTCTTATTAAAGTGGCGATTTGCTGTCACCAGAACGAATTCGGTGCCACGAATACGAATTCGGAAAGGTATGGTATGAAAATTTAGAAAATACATTTTCGGCTCCACAGCATGCTAAAGTAATTTGGCAATCGTCAAGTAATTCAAAAATTAGGTGAGAGGCATGTTTGGCGTTTTCAATTTAGTCAGTATAATATATTAAGCTTATTGACTACAGTATTTTCAGAGGATTTCATCACTAATTTTTACAACTTATTTATTATTTCTTACGTGAAATGAAGTAATGAAAATGAGCCTGTGGTTTTATAAAAGATTTTAACAGTTAAAACATAGTGCCATGTTTTAGAATATTAATTTAGAATTAAGGTTAGGCCACGCAAAGTTAATTTTTCGTTTTACATTACATAGAATCTGAAAATTGGATCGGTCGGTCGGATTTATTTATTTATTAAAAAATCCACTTTAAATTAATAGAATTATTCATATTTTAAGGCTACACAAAGTTAATCTTTTTTTTGTATAACAAGAAATTAGAAAATTGGGTTGGCAGTCGTTTTTTTCTGTCGGTCCTATCAGATAATTCCGGGATGTCGGGTCTCCGCCGGGTGATATCGGATAAAAATGGCAGAAAAAAATAAATAGCAAAAATCTAATAATTGGACAATTGGGATGTAAAAAAAAAATTTAGAAAATTTGAAGAAATGGGTCGGCTTTACTAGTTTTTTAGAGCAAGTGTTTCGAGCTTTTTATTTTTTTTAATTCGTACTGTTGTGAGGTCGTCATTTGTGCCAATTATCGTTATGGCCTTTATTCCATTTATGTCCTTTATTCCTTTTATAGCATTAGTAACAGAAATGGAATTAATGGAATTAATTCCATTAATGGCACTTCGGGAATTAATGCCATTTTCGTTACGAAGTTCAATCTTAAAACCTGTATTTATATAAGCATGTAAAACTATAAAAGCGACTCTTCTTCGCTTCAATAAAGATAACTGACTTGGAGTGGAGAACTCACTAGAGTTCAAACTCAGTTATCGTTCTACGTAATAACTCATAAACATTCGTTATCCTATTTCCCTGATAAATAAACTATCTTATAAGCCCGTGACTCCGAGTAAAGCCTCGTGACATAATCAATAGCTCTATTTGGCCCTAATCCCTCGGGGTTTACTAATTTCTCCCCCCACTTCCTATTGGACGAAGAAAAATCCTCCCTTTCGATCAAATAATAGAAGTATCGTTGAAGCAGTATAAAGGTCTAATAAAACATATTCTATACTAAAATTTTGCAAGGAATTTTTTTTGTTAGAACACGAAAGGCGGTTTTGTAATCAAAATTTTAAGTTACTGCCGATTTTTGAAAAACAACTTTTTTTTGAAATTTTATGTTACACCTGATCTTAAATTTGATTAGTAGACGAAGTGTGGCGTAGTCTATTTTGTCCAATCAGAGATAGCATTTGCAAATATCCAATCAGAACTGGGGGAGAAATTAGGGATCCCCAAGAAATAGAACCATTTCTTATCAAGCATGTACTAATACTGGCTATTTTATGCCGAATAATCGCTTCAATTTATATTAAACCAACAAGTTCATCAGTAGCAATACATTCCTTTAATTAATTTTCTGGTCTCAAATATTATTACTGTATTACCTACTGGCAATGGAGCACAGTAATCAGGTCAGTAATTTTATTAGTATTAAGACTATTTAAAAGACTACTTTTCTTGCATACATGACCTTTAACATATAGTACATGAGTTTTTTCAATATACTGTATGAGTTTTTTCTTACTCCTACTACGCATAATTAAATTCTGACTGGGTACTATATTTTTCTATTCTAAATGATTTACTAATGCTTTTCCTTCATTTATTTTCCTGAGATACTGTAGAATTTAATTAAAAGGAACTAGTATTTGGATGTTTACTTTTAGGATCAGTAATTCATTTAATGCAAATAAAATAAATAAAAATAAAAAATATACATTTTTTGTGTCTCAAATTCGACTACTGTCAGCTCATTAACAATTTATGTTTGTAAGGAAAATTCTGCGAAATGACACGGCAAATCAAGAACTATTACCTAATTAAAAGAGAAGTAGTTACTAAACAATTTTATATATGCCGAAGATTCTAAAGTTACTAAATCTAAATATGCGAGATAAGAAATTTTAGATCTGAAGCAATGATATAATGTTTAACTTTTCTCCGCTGGAAGAATTAATCCTTTAAATATAATTCAATATTGATTTTTTTAAATATAAGTTTTTACGCTGTTCAATCTAGATTGCATTTTTATATTCACTCACTTAAGGGGTTAATAATTAGCCGAATATATAAATTAGGCTTCAAAATTAGAGATATTTTTCAAAGTCAAAATCATTGAAACCTTCCCAGTATTAGTAATAAACATTCATTTAAAAAAAACACTGAAGTTTTAAGTCTTCTAATATTCTTTACACGGCAAATATCATTATTCTTTTAAATAGAATCGATGCCTATGACGTTCTTTTTAATTGTACAATAATTAACATATATTTATAATTAATATACATTGGCCGATAACATAAAATGATTATCATTTGATGCATTATTATTATATTTCATTTTAGCGAGCAGTGCTCCATTGTTTGTTTGTTTGTTTTTTTAAGGAAAGCCATGCTAACCAGTGAGTTGCTTCCTTAATAAAGAAAAGATGCTC